CTAAAACAAAACACCTGCATGACATAATTCTAATAAGTAAGTTTGCTCGGCTGAATTTTTGTTCCTTAATACTATGAAGGCCATTTATTGGGACAACTGGTGACACTTGAATGGAGTGTGAGGATTCGATAGAGAAACTTACCAATGCTAATCTCTTTTATGTTTGAAGTTATCCTTTGGTTACATGGAAGGTTCTTGCTTGTAGGAAACACACACTAAACATTATGGGGCGTAATATTGGCAACTGACTCTTGTGTGATTTAAGAAAATTAATGTCTTTGTACTGTACTCACAACTTTCCTGTAATTTTGAGATATTTCCAATTTAAAAAAAAAATTAAGGCAGTGCTTTTTTTGTTTTTGTTAATCCTCACCTGGAGATATATTTCCCATTGATTTTGAGAGAGAGTGGAAGGGAGGGAGGGGGGGAGAGAGAGAGAGAGAGAGAGAGAGAGAGAGAGAGAGAGAGAGAGAGAGAAGGAGAGAAACATCAATATGAGAGGCACATAAATTGGGCCCAACTGGGTTGGGAATCTAACCTGCAACCCAGGAATCGAACCCAAGACCCCTCCATGTGAGGACCGGTGCTCTAACCACTGAACACAATGGCCAGGGCTAAATCGATGCTTTAAAAACTTATTTGAGCATATAGGAGGTAAGAAACATTTTTGTGGGGGTTTTTTTTTTTAATGTTTTTATTGCTTTTAGAGAGAGAGGAAGGGATAGGGAGAAAGACATCTGTGAGAGAGAAACGTCATCATCTAGCTGCCTCCTGCATGCCAACTATGGGGGACTGAGCCCGAAACCCAGGCATGGGCCCTGACCGGAATCAACCAGTGACATCTTGGTTCCTGGGTCGACACTCAACCACTGAGCAACACTGGCTGAGCAAGAAATCTTCTTCATATCAAGACCAATACAAAACATGTTTGTGAACCTGAAACAAGAGCAGCACAAAACAAATATCCTTGCTTAAAAAGATGATATCAACTATGGTTTTAAGAAAAATAAATCTCAAGAGAAACAGTAGAGAGATAAGCCCCAACACCACCGGCAGAGGCTTAAGGAATGATCCCTGCCCAGTCCTCTCGCGAGGATAACAAGAGCAAACACACACCATATAGGTTGTATCACACCCCGGGCTCTAAGTACTGTGCAGATATTGCTTAATCCTCATAACTACTGTAGAAGTAAGGCAATGTTAATGTCTGTCTTAAAGTTGCAGAAACGGAGGCCAAGAAAGATTAAGCAACTCGTCCAAGGTCACACAGCCAGAGAAAGGCGGGGCCGGCCTGGAACTTCAGCCTGACTTCACTGCACCTTGCAAAAGGGATGTCATTATCCCTCCCTTGGCTGCTGGGAAAGGAAGGCTCAGAGAAGGGAAATGGCCAGCCCGTGGTCATGCTGATATTGAAAAGCAACGACTAGTCCCCGAGAACAGTCCTGCACGGTCAGGGAGCAATGCTGCCGTGCTTAGAGCCCAAACCAGGAGCCATTATTTGTTCATCGAACCCAGTTATGAGAAGACAGCCCTCCAGTTTGGCCAACACTCCAGCTGTCCATCTAACGCTTCGCTGCCCAACATGGCAGCCACACGCTAATTTAAATGTAAGCTAATCCAAGTAAAATTAAAACACTGAAGTCTCACACCATCGCTTGTGCTCAGTGCTCCCGGCTCCCACGATGCACAGCACACACTGGCAGTTGTGCGGGGCAGGGAGGAGTCTGGAGATTGTTGGCCAGGGCTTAGCAATCACTCCTTCCAAAGGGGGGCTGCGATATTCCGGATGCCCTTTCACTCCATGCCGAACGCACGAGCACATCCCATCAGGTACCTTGTCAACAACCACACGTAGCTGTGCTTTGACTGAAGTGGCGCCGTCATGTTTTCCTATAGATTAATCCAGAAAGCCGGAACCGGTTTGGCTCAATGGATAGAGTGTCGGCCTGCAGACTGAAAGGTCCCAGGTTTGACTCCGGTCAAGGGCATGTACTCTGGTTGCAGGTACATCCCCAGTGGGGGGGGTGCAAGAGGCAGCTGATCAATGTTTCTCTCTCATCGATGTTTCTAGCTTACTGTCATTCTCTCTTCCTCTCTGTGAAAAAAAAAAAATCGATAAAATATATATTTTTTTTAAATTAATCCAGAAAGAAAAGCCCATTAATTAGCCCATCACCCCAGCTTGGGTTTTAGTCCATGGTCGTGACACCTGATGGTACCTTTAAACTCTCACCGGTAGCTTTCTTCTCCGGAATGGATTTACTGGCCAAAGCCAGCCAAGGAGAGACACTGATTCCAGCACAATTCTGACTCAGGCCTTTGGAAAGCTCCTGGGTTATGACATGCATCGAAGCAATTAGGATTACAGAACCTGCACAACTGAATCCATGCTCCCGAGAGACGGGTCAAAGGCAGGGTGGAGACTAGGAAAGAATAACAGGCAGGTGAGGACAGATGGAAGGGTTTAAAAAAAGAGAGATTGAAGATAAGAATGAGAGGAGGAAATGCCAGCTGACTAAATTTTCCCTCCACCTGTTGCTGACTCGCTCTGACCAGGCCTCGGGCTCACCACCAACCCCCGGTGGGTTAAAAACACAGGTCTTGCCCTAGCCGGGTGGCTCAGTGGTTAGAGTGCCGGCCCTCGGACTGAGGGGTCTCGGGTTCAATTCCTGTCAAGGGCACGTACTTTGGATCCTGCAGTCGGTCGATCCCTGTTCCTGGACCAGGCATGTGCGGGAGGCAACCAATTAATGTGTCTCTCTCACACTGATGTTTCTCTCTCTGTGTCTCTCCCCCTCCTTTTCACTCTCTAAAAATCAGAGGGAGGAGAGGAGGGAAAATAAATAAATAAAAAGATCAAATCATGGGTCTTTTCTCTGTTACACCCTAGAGTCCAGAGCTGAAATAATGGAAATTTCCATACCTGTACCGTCCGTACAGTGGCCACGTGTGGCAATTTGAGTGCTTGAAATGTGACTGAGGCACTGAATTTTAAATTTATTTTAATTTTAATGAATTTAAACTTAAATATGTTCGGCAACATGTGGCTGGTGGCTACCATAGTGGACAGTGCAGCACTGAATGGTGAGCGGCAGCTCAGGGCAGGGCCTTCCCGGCTGTGTCCCACAACTACCCAACCTGCAAACTGGTTGTTTGGGGGCATCCTCTAGGGGCAGAGGTCGGCAAACTCATCAGTCAACAGAGCCAAATATCAACAGGACAACGACTGAGATTTCTTCTGAGAGCCAAATTTTTTTAAACTTAAACTTCTTCTAATGCCACTTCTTCAAAATAGACTCGCCCAGGCCGTGGTATTTTGTGGAAGGGCCACACTCAAGGGGCCGAAGAGCAGCATGTGGCTCGAGAGCCGCAGTTTGCTGAACATGGTTCTAGGGTAACTCCCTGGGTCCCAGTCCAGCTCTGGGAAAGCCTGAGAAAGTGACGTAATCTTGTTTGTGCCTCAGTGTTCACATCTGTAAAATGGAGCATAAATGGGCCTCACAGAATGTTCAAAGTTTGGGGACCTCAGTGGAGAGCAGAGGGATGTGCATCGCATGATCTTTCCAACTGGTCTGTAGGTGTGAAATGTTTTATAATCAAAGTTGGAAAACAAAATGCGGATACTGTATTGCAGGAAGTCTCTGCATAGTCAGTGGTGTGTGGAACGTGCTTGCCACAGAGCCTGGAACCAGGAAACCATTGGGTGCTTTTAAAAATACCTGGCCATAGCATATATGCATAGCCCATGGACACAGCTGGCAAGGGGGCTAGGACCAGAGGGAGGGGAGGGCGGTCTGGGTGGAGGGAGCAGAGGGGGAGGGCATGGGGAGTGGGAAACATCTGTAATAATGTCAACAATAAATAAATAAAGAATCATCTGGCAGCCAGCAGGGTAGCTCTTAAAGCACTGTCCCAATGCACCAAGGTTGCAGGTTCGATCCCCATTCAGAGCACAGACAGGAATCAACTAATGAATACATAAATAAATGGAACAACAATCCCTTTCTGCCACCCTTCCTCTCTCTCTAAAATCAATAAATAAAAATTTAAAAAACAATAATGAATAAAATACCTGGCAAACATCCATTCTCCGAAAGGTGTCAGAGACAAAAAGATAAAAGAAATAACAGCCTGGCCAGTGTGGCTCAGTGGTTGAGCCTCAGTCTAGGAACTAGGAGGCCATGGTTAGATTCCTGGTCAGGGCACAGGCCCAGATTGCAGTCTTGACCGCAGCAAGGGGCATGCGGGAGGCAGCGGATACATGATTCTCTCTCATCATTGATGTGTCTATCTCTCCCTCCCACTATTCCTCTCTGAAGCCAAATAAAACATATTTTAAAAAACAATGAAAAAGAGAGGAGTTCAAACCAGACTCCTCCCGGGCTACCTCAGCTCCTCAGTGAAAGGTCTTGGCCTTTCCTCCCTAGCTCAGCTTCCAGGCGTTACTGTCAGAAAGGAGGTAGAGAGGACTCCTTGGGACACTGTACAAAGAAATCCGTTTATTGAGGCTTTATGTTCCAGAAACGGACCGCACAGAGGCTGAAGGCGCGGCCCCTGGCCCTTGAGGAGCTCACAGTCCAGGAAGGAAGACAGTGGCTGAGACTATTCCCAGGGAGATGCGGGGCGGGGCCCGCAGCCCGCAGAGGAGGGACCCCGTTATCCCCCCAACTCTGCCCCCCATCTTCCAGGGCGCCTATGGGAGAGCTCCTGGCTGTCTCTCCCACAGTCCCTGTGGCACTTCTAACCACTTCCGTCCCCATGACGAAAAGGGGGCGAGAAGGTGGAGGGGGGCCTATCTGCAGCCTCAAAAAGCTAGCACGCCCCAGAGGGTATGTATGTATGTACAAGGGTTTCCCTTTATATCCCGAAGCCGCAGACCAGCGCAGCGGAAGCTGGGAGCTGAGGTCAGTGAAAGAAACGGGGGGCTGGGCCAGCCCAGTCCGGTGGCGGGAGCGGGAGGAGGGGCAGGGAGCAGGGAGCAGGCTCCCAGGTGCAGAGGCTCATAGCAGGGTGCGGGCGGCCACGGCCAGCAGGAGGGCCGCCAGGCCGGCAGAGGGCGCTGCCGAGCCCCCGTTGTGGGGCCACGTGTTGGTGGGGCGCTGCTCCTTGTTGCTGCGGTCCTGGTGGCCCGCGGCGCCTGCGGTCAGGCTGGCCCCCTCCTCTAAGAACACAGTGTTGATTGCAACCTCCCTGGGCGGCGTGCGGCTGGCGGAGGCGGGGCTGGGCTTGGCGGTGGAGACGGGCTTGGTGGGCGCGCGGGGTGCGGCGGAGGCGGTGGCGGAGGTGGTGGCGGTGGCGGAGGTGGTGGCGGAGGTGGCGGCCGTGGCGGAGGTCGTGGCCTGGGGCACGGGCAGCAGCACCAGCGGCGGGATGCGCGGCGAGAAGAAGGTCTTGTTGCGGAGGTCGGCGTTGCAGCGGGGGCCCTTGCAGCAGGAGCCGCTGAGCGTGAAGCCCGGGCCCGTCACGGCGTCCCGGGTGCAGAACTCGTCCTGGACGCAGCCGCGGACCGGCAAGGACACCGTCACGTTGGCTGTAGGGACACACACACACACACACACACACACACACACAGGCCGGGGTGGAAGACGGGGCAAAGTGCAGCTTAGTAAGGTGACCAGATGGGACAGTCCCGATTTCTAACAACTTTTTCTCCCGCGGCGTTTAAAAAAAAAATTCCCGATTTTTTAAAACGCCGCGGGACTTGGAAAGATTCTTTCCAAAAATCGGGAGGTTTTTTTTTAAAACGCCAGGAACGCGGGGAAAATTGTTAGAAATCGGGACTGTCCCGCCCAAAGCCTGGTCACCTTAGCTTAGAAGCAAAAACCTCCCAAACCGGGGACCGAGGGGTTCCAACTGAGCCAGAAGGTGGAACTCGGAAAAACACTGTCCTGGTCCTTGGCTTAGGACGGATCCCATTTCCTACAGCAGAAGAGCAAAAGTCCCCTCCCTCCCTCCCTCCTGCCCCCCATCACACCCCAATAGTTAGTCTTGGAGTGAGAGCTGCATCTAAGACACCTGGCGGGGGAGAAGGGAGGGAGGAGCGGGATTAAAGAACTACATCTCCCATGATGCCCCGGGGCAGAGGCCAGGAGGCCGACCTGCACCTCTCCTCTGTGGTTTGGGGGCACCCTAACCCCTGGAGTTATAAGAAGTCAGAACCACAATCCCCCCGCAATGCCCGGGTAGACGCTTGAAGGTTTAAAAACATTTCCCAGGCTTTTGGAGGATCTTTTATATACATTTGTAATGGATGAAAAATAAAACATTACAAATCTTTTTTCTTCTTTTTTTAAATATTTAAACCATGTACCAAGTTTTTTGTCAAATCATGTAAAATGAATTAAACGTAAATTGCATTCTATTAACCAATATGAGTGTATTTCTGTAAGCATAGTTATGTGGAAATAAAGTTTTAAAAAGAAAAAAAAAAACACATTTCCCACGGCACATCCTTGTGTCCTGCCCTCAGCAGGCCTCTATGGAAATGCATCTAAAAAAAAAAAAAAAAAAAAAAAAAAACCTAGGCCGAAACTGGTTTGACTCAGTGGATAGAGCATCGCCTGCGGACTGAAGGTCCCAGGTTCGATTCCCGTCAAGGGCATGTACCTTGGTTTTGGGCACATCCCCAGTGGGGGGGTGTGCAGGAGGGCAGCTGATGGATGTTTCTGGCTCTATCCCTCTCCCTTCCTCTCTGTAAAAAATCAACAAAATGTATATTTTTTAAAATAATATTTTTTAAAAAAAAAACTAGGACAGAAAGCATCTCTATCCCGGTGCCATGGGACTGCATTTCTCAAGAAGCTCTGGACATGAGACAAGAACTTAGACCGAGAGCGCCCGGCGTGCGTTGGAGGTGGGGGGACCCTGTGCCAAGGGCTCCCGCCGCTCCGGAGGCCTCGGAGGGGCTGCAGGTGCCCCGCCCCGCCCGCCCCGCCCTCCCCGGCCGCTCACCTGCCGTCAGGGTGACGTTGCCGTCGAAGCAGCCCTGGTAGGCGCGGTCGCTGGCGTTGTAGCAGCGCACGACGGGCGGCGCGGCGCCCCGGCAGGCCTCGCGGCTCAGCCCCACGCAGCTGTAGCACTCGGCCCCGTTGGGCTCGTACGCACTCTCATTGCCTACGAGGAGGGAGCGAGCGGGGGTGGGGGGTGAGGAAGGGGACAAGCAGGCTCCGGCCCCGGCCGCTGTCGCTCAGTGGATACAGCGTTGGCCTGCGGACAGGCGGGTTCCCAGATTCCATTCCAGACACGGGCACATCCCCAGGCTTGCAGGAGGCAGCCAATCAATGATTCTCATCTTTGTTGTTTCTAACCCTCTCTCTCTTTCCTTCCTCTCTGAAATCAATAAAAATATATTTAAAATTTTTAAAAATATATTTTATTGATTTTTTTTACAGAGAGGAAGGGAGAGGGACGGAGAGTTAGAAACATCGACCAGCTGCCTCCTGCACACCCCCTGCTAGGGATGTGCCCGCAACCGAAGTACATGCCCTTTTGACCGGAATCGAACCTGGGACCTTTCAGTTTGCAGGGTGACTACGCTCTATCCACAGAGCCAAACCGGTTTCGGCCTAAAAAAAATTTTTTTAGATATGTACACATATAAAAATTTAATTTTTAAAATAAATAAAAATAATGAAAGAAAAGAAAATATTAGGATAACATAAATATTATAAATTGAGAATCCTCAAACAGAGGCAATAAAATTAACAGGAATAACTATAAAAAATAAATAAAGTTGGTCGGAAAGCACACTTCGGCCTGGGGTGGCTCCAGCCCACGTCTCCCCACCTCGTCCGACCCAGGTTCGGCCTCTAGCTCCGCCCTGGGCCCCCGCCCCCGCCCCCCTGCGCTCCCAGGCGGCGGGCTGGCGAGCGCCCCAGGGGCCCCGGCCCCGCACGCTCCGCCCCCGCCCACCCCACGCACCTGCGGGGGTGAGCGCGCGCGCGGACAGGTTGAGCTTGGCGTTGCAGCGGTCCTGCGCGCACTGCTGCAGCTGGATGAAGGCCAGCAGCCCGAAGAGGTCCAGGCCGCGGTCGTTCTTGCCCGGGAGGCCGGAGCCGCAGCCGCGCACCGCCACCGAGAACTGCCCGTGGACTGCGGGGAGGGAAGGGAGGGGGGTCAGAGGAGCCGGGGCCTCAGAAAGGGCCCATCAAGGAATGCGTGACCCACGGAGGGGCGGGGCTTCCACAAGCTGAACCCGGGGCTGCCAGGCGGACAGAGTGGACAGAATGGGGGGGAGAAGGGGGGCGCCCCGGAAGCGGGGAGGAGTGTGGGGGGAAGGGGTGGCTATAAGAAGGGCAAGAAAAAGGCACAGGATCGAGAGGGGCGGGCCTCCCAGGAGCTGTGGCCTCGGACCAGGTGGGGAGGTGGGTCTGAGCCTCCCAGCCTCCGCTAGGGCACCTAGAAAACCTCTACAGAAACCCCATCGCCAGGGCCCCCTGGAGAGGGGAGGCGGGGTTGGGGAGGAGAACCTTCTGTGTTAGGGAGGTCGTGGTGGCGCAGACATGGATGGGGCGCGCTCCAGAAGGGGACAGGGTCCCAGATCCTGGATCTCCCAAGTTCACCACCTCTTCTCAGCTCCCAGCCCGCCCCACTCTGAGCCCTGGGCCAGGCAGAGAGGGAGGGGGCGGGGCGCTGCTCGGAGGGGTGTGGCCAAGGCCAGGGGGCGGGGCTGGACTGTAAGGGGCGGGGCCTGGCTGGAGGAGCGGGCACGTGGGCCCGGGGGCCCCACTCACTGGTCTCCACCGCGCCCACGGCCTCCGTGCAGACTTCCACGCCCGGCGCGCACTTCACGATCTTCGTCTTCTGCGGGGAGCAGCCGTCGTCGGCCTTTTGCACGCAGCTGTAGCACTCCAGCGCCCGCGCTCCTGGGGAGGGGGGCGCAGTGGGCCTCTGCTGGAGCCTCCTCCCGCCTCTCCCCGACGGAGGGCGCCCCTTCCCCCGCCCTGGCTCTCCTGGACCAGATGGTCCTATTGCACATCGTTTCCCAGGGCAGGAGTAAGGAGAAGCATCCCACAAATATGGGGTCACGGGAGACATGGTGAACCTTTCCTTCAAGCCCCCTGTGCCCACAGTGGGGGCATCTTCCCCACGGCGCCCGAGGCCCAAGGTGGGGGATCCCTGACCGGAAGCCCTGGGAGAACTCTGCCTGGAATGGGGAGCACCTTCCCACACTGCTCCGCTCAGGATGGGAGAATTTTTCCCACAGATGAGTAGGCCCAGCGAGGGATCCCTTCCCACAAGCCCCTCCCCCCTCCCTGATCAGAGCAGGGTCTTCCCCCAGCCCCCTCTGCTCAGGTTGGAAGAGTTTTTCCACAGCCCCTCCCCCAGGGCAGGAATCACTCCCCCCTCTCCCTCCACCTTCTCTGTAGGGAGTGAGGGGACCCTGTTCCCTGGGCCCCACTCTGCCCCCTTCACTCCTCTCCCCAGAAGACCCACCTTTTTTAATTACTTATCTTTTTCTAGGGGGAGAGGGAGAAACATCGATTTGTTGCTCCACTTATTTATGCATTCATTGGTTGGCCCTTATACCCTGACCAGGGGAGGAACCCACAACCTTAGCTATAGGGAACAACTTAGCTACCCAGACCTACCTTGAAGCAGCATCGGCAGCAGCAGCAGCAGCCAACCCGTGGTCCAGATCACCGCCCGGGCACCTGCTTTCCTGGCGGGGTCCATGGTGCGATCCTGCTCCCTCAGAGGTCCCCCTCGGTGTGCCGCCTCACAGCCCCGTCCTCTTACCTGAGCTGGGGATGACTAACTTCCCCCCAGGCAACCTTGGCCTTGCCCAACCAGGCCAAATCAGCGTCTGATGTGGGGCGGCAGGCCCGCCCCTGGGTGCGTCACCCACAGCTGCCAAGGAGGGAAATGGCGGGAGTCCAGGTTCCCTGACAGTCCCCAAAAGAAAGTCTGTGTGTTTGGGGGGCAGAGGGGAGAGTGCTGAGGTTCACAGAGGGGTCTACCCAGCACTTGGCACCCACTAAATAGTTCATGAGTAACTACGGCATGCCAGCTGCAGTCTGGAGACCAAGACAGAACCAGTGCCTGGCCTACCTGAGCTCACCGCTGACGGGGGAGACAGATGTTCACCAAATAATCATACAAGTTGTTATTCTCTGGAGAAATAAGAGAGAAGGAGGAGTGGAAGGGAGCTGCAAGCCCCTAGAAGTGGGGCCAGTCAGTGTAGCTTCCCTGGAGATGTAAGAGCTGTATGGTCTCGAGGTCATGGAGGATTTAGCCCATGAAGGAGGCCAGGGTCGGGCAGAGAGCATCACTAAACAGAGGGAGCAGCAGGCAAAGACCTAGAGGTGGGAAGTAGCAAGACCCATTCAAACTCGGCGGAGAGCAGTGCACCAGGGGCTCCGAGGGCGAGGGAGAAGGGTGGAGAGTGAGACGGAGCATCACAGGGGCCAGACCGTGTAGGGTGTCCCAGGCCCTGAGCAGGGATTTGGATTAAACCTGAGAAAGCTGGAGAATCTTTGGGAGGGTCTCCGTCAGCTGGGGGCACCATCAGATTTCCTTTCCAATAGGATGCATCTGGAAGACAATGCACACACCCACCAGGAAGTGAATGGGGAAGGAAGGAGCAGTTCCCTAGTCCTGGGGACCATTGCACAGCAGGGAAAACGCCCACCCGTGGCCTCAGCGTCCTGGATGGCTCTCAGATACTTGACGCTGAGCTCCAGAAGCCTTGCACAGAGAAAACACACATTGTAACTCCACGTTTGTGAAGTTGGAGAACAGACAAAACTAAGCAGCCGTGGGAGGAGTCTCGGCAGGGGCTGCCCCGGGCTGGGTGTTGTCCCAACGAAGCCGCGGTGAGAAGCCCCCACACTACCTCTGCAAGGTAGTTCCACGTGTGTGCAAATATGTAAAGGGATCACCGAGGTACATACGTACACATGTCACTGAATGTACATCACTATTTTTAAATATATTTTCATTGATTTTTTACAGAATGGAAGGGAGAGAGATAGAAACATCAATGAGAGAGGAACATCGATCAGCTGCCTCCTGCACACTCCCCACTGGGGATGTGCCCACAGCCAAGGTACATGCCCTTGACCGGAATCGAACCTGGGACCCTTCCGTCCACAGGCCGGCGCTCTATCCACTGAGCCACACCGGTTAGGCCGTACGTCACTATTAAAGAAAAAAAGGGAAAGGCCTCTGGGGCCCCTGTGTAGAAAAGGAAAAGACTCTAGATGAGGAGAGAGAGAGAAGGCCAGGCGAGGGCCTGGGCGGTTTCCCAGGTAAGAAAGAGAAAGGCAGCCCTGACGGCTGGCCAGGAGTTGGCCTGGCACTGGCAGCGCGGTCACGGTGTGTGTGTGTGACCCACCGACACGCCGCTGCTGTCAGACAGGGCCTCCCTGTGGAATGGAGCGAGACACAGTCAGGACCACTGCGCAATCACCATGTCTGAGCACAGACACTAACGAGAACGCTGTGCAAACCACAAAACGACTAAGCGTTCCCATGTCCTGGCTAATATATGCCACTGCTGTTATATATATTATATTATATTATATTATATTATATTATATTATATTATATTATATTATATTATATTATTATATTTATTATACCAGAGGCCCGGTGTACGAAATTTGTAGGTCTTCGCAGCCCCAGCTTCATCTGGAAGGTCTTCCGGAAGAATGTCGGGATGGTCGTTCTGCTGTTTGGCTGTTTGGTCGATTTGCATATTACCCTTTCATTATGATAGATTATATTCCATTCATTATACTATAATGTTCCAGCTTGACCCCTGCTTTGTTTCTCTTGGCTCACAGATGAGCTGTATCGAAGGCAGTAAAAGGAGCAGCTGTGTTCATAAAGATATCATGTGTCTCCCAGACCCCATGGCCCGCCCTCCCCGCCACCACCCCCCTCCCCCATTCTCAACAATGACTAGCACCTCAGTCACAGGGGTGGGGTCACTGGGCATCGTGATTCGGGAGAAAGTGAATGACTGCTGGTGAGGTCATGCGGCCCTAGCCCCCGCCGCCCTGCCTCCCAGCCGGGAAGCCCAGCCCCACTTTTGCTGGGTGACCCTGTGCTGAGTGTCTTCACCGCTCTTAGCCCCTGAGGTGTCCGTTTTACAACAAAGGAAGGGGTGCTTCCGTGGCGGAGTGACTGAGGCTGTGGGCAGAGTATCCAGTCTGGGGGTCTGGGATGGTAAGCCTGCCTCTGCCGTCCTCCTGCTGTGTGACCTCAAGCAGCCGTGTCTCCTTCTCCGAACCCGGCTGCCTCCTTCTCCAAGTGGGCCTGAAAACCCCTCTCTTGCGGGGCGGAGGGAGGCCGGCTGGCGATACTATTATTACTGTGTGCTCAGGAGCAGGAGGCCCTGCAGGCCCCGGCGGGCGCGTGGGAGAGTTTCAGGGAGGAACCCGAACTGGCTGGACCAGCAGAACTGGCGTCTGGGGAGGGAACGGGACCAGGGTGGGGAGCCTCCTCTTGCTCAGGCCTGCCCGGATCCTGGGCGCTGACCCTGGCCTGGCCCCAAATCAGAGAGCCGAGGGAGGTCTGAACGTGGGGCCTCCGTTCAACCTGCTCCGTGACTCCTCCCGGCTGGCTCTTCACTGGAAGAAGATTTATAATCTGGTGCCCGGATGGACGCACGGAGGGGCCAGGGTGGAGGCAGTCCCCGGCGCTGGAGTTCACGCCGGGCCTCAGACAAGCCCGGGGCCAGATCCACTGGGGGTTTCCTGTCCCCTGGCACAGGGCAGGCTCAGCCCAGGGACGTCCGTGGTCTGTCTCAGACCCAGTCCCTCTGGGAGGTACTGTCCGGGATCTGTTAGAGAACGGGTGTTTCTGACTCTGTTTCCAACTCTCTCTCCCTCTCCCTTCCTCTCTGTGAAAAATCAATAAAATCATATATTTTTATTTTTTTATTCTATATATATATATTTTTTTAAAATATATTTTATTGATTTTTACACAGAGAGGAATTGAGAGGGATAGAGAGTTAGAAACGTCGATGAGAGAGATACATCGACCAGCTGCCTCTTGCACATCCCCCACTGGGGATGTGCCCGCAACCAAGGTACGTGCCCTTGACCGGAATTGAACCCGGAACCTTTCAGTCCGCAGGCCGACGCTCTATCCATTGAGCCAAACCGGTTTCGGCTCTTCATATATATATTTTATTGATTTTTTTTTTTTTTTTTAGAGAGAGGAAGGGAGAGGGACAGAGAGCTAGAAGAATTGATGAGAGAGAAACATCGACCAACTGCCTCCTGCACACCCCCTATCGGGGATGTGCCCGCAACCAAGGGACATGCCCTTGACCGGAATCGAAGCTGGGACCCTTCAGTCCGCAGGCTGACAGGCTCTATCCACTGAGCCACCCCGGTTTCGGCAAGTACATATATTTTTAAAAGCACTAAAAATGGAAATGCTTTCCTCCACCACCTTGCTGGGCCCCTCGTGGTGCTTAATGCCACGTTCCCTTGGGCACAGGGTTACTTGTGGGGTGAGCACAGACCCTCACAGACGTCTGGAGACCCTGCCCCACAACTAAAGCAACCTGGCTGTGGGTCCTCCTTCCACCCGCTGCCCACTGCCGCCTCCCTCCCTGAGATGCCATCGGGCACAAGAGCCTGACCTTGAGCTTCCCGTGTACACCCAGGCCCCGCCCTCGGCGGCCGCGGTCACAGGGAGGGGCAGGGCAGGGAAGGCGGACGGAACCCGTTCGGGGGAGATAGATGGGAGATGGAGCCGAGGCTCCAATCCCCCCAACTCGGGCCTCACATCCCTTCAGACTCCACGTAGAAAACACAAATTCAAGTACAGAATGAAGACTTTCCAGACAGCACCCACCGAGCATTGATCCTGAGAGGGCCCTTCTCAGGAGGGCTGCTGGGGGCCTGTCAGCCACACGGGCCACAGGCCACGAAGCGGGCCCAGCACATGCCATAGGCAGAGGGGCTGGGGGCTGAATTGACCCAAGAATGCAGAGTCTCCCACCTTCAGGGAGGGCGTAAGGGCCACCTGGGGTCACCGAGGGCCTGGGGACTAGGGTGCCAGCATTCCTGGAGCTCAGAAGTACCAGCTCTGGATCCTCAAGGAATCCAAGGACAGGACAAACGGGAAGCCCAGGTCCTGAGGAGATGCACACCAGAGGGACTGAATGCCTCATTCCAGAGTTAAGGAGGGGAGGGGAGGAGACTGTCCCCACAGGGCCTGCCTGCAGAGGTCACTGTGGGGTACCTGGGGGGGACTGTGGAAGCCCAGAACAGACCCTGGATGCAGCTCAGGGAGCAGCGAGAGCTTCTTGGGGGAGGGGTCACCTGGGGTCAGACCTAGAGCCTAGAGTTCTGTCTGCCTTGGTCCCCATTGTCCCCAGTCTCAGCATCTCTCTCCCATCCATTCACCCCACCATTAGTCAACCCCTCAACACCCTTTGCTGTGCATCAGAGACTTGGCAGCGACCGGGACAGCCTGTCCTTGCCTTCCGGAGCTCCCGTCCACAAAGAGACACTCCTCGGCGATGACCCAGAGCAGTCCCAGCCGCGAGGAGTGATCAGAGCTGGGACGGGAGGCCCAGAGGAAGCCTCTGACTCAGCCACGAGAACCAGGGAGGGCTCCCTGGAGAAGGAAACATCTCAGCTAAAACCGAATGATGAGTGGAGATGGGGTGGAGCGGGGAAAGCTGTCTAAGCCGAAGCAGCAGCGTTTAC